GCAGGAACTTGTCGGGCATTACTTGGTTGAGAGCAGTTTCTGGCAAAATGTCCAATACGGCCACAATTATAGCATTCATTGGTGCGGGGACGTTGTCGGGGCCTTTCTTTATCGACTTGTTTACTTCTCTCCATGTTTTGAAACCTCATCTCTAATGCCTTCAACCTCTCAAGAATTTCCATATTAACATCTTGTGATGGAGCAGCTTTAGGGGCAACTTGTTCCTTTGGTCTGCGTATCGATTGTGAATATATCTGTGCAGGGTCAGTTGCACTCAGCATGTGGCGGTCCTGTCCCAACTCGAATGAGATGACATGGAGTTCCTCCCTTAGTTCCTTGTAGGTCATCTGTCTCGGTCTCATTGGAGCAAGGCGGTTCTTTACTGCAACGTCTTTCAACCCATGCATAAACTGAGTGCAAAGGAGTTTGTCTCGGTCAAAATTGTCATGCATCTGCAGACCTTTCAGCTGTTCCTTTACTCTGCGCAGAAGCGCTTCAAGGGCAATGGCATAATCGCGTGCTGTCTCTGTAGGTTGTTGCACACGGGCATAAAACGCAGCCATAGGAGATACAGTGACATTCAGCTCTCCATACTCGCTGAGGAGCTCCTTCAACGCTGCTTCAGGCGTCATGCTGGCAGGTCCCAAACTTTCCAAATTCAAGACTAAATCCCGAGCACGGCCCCCAGTATGGCGGACAATTTCATGGAATTGGGGTAATGGGGTGGTATAACCCTTGGACTCTAATAAATACTTCATATCCCTCACCCAATCTTCTATTTTTAACCCATATTTGTCCCTCCCCGTGAAGGTGGGGACGTTTTTGATCTGGTGAGATGAAATCACTCTAGGTGGCAGCACAACTTCTGGAGTAGGCGAGGGATCAAACCCAGCTAACAGTAGAGGTGACACTGCCGGCTGAATTATGCTGACATCAGGCTCCAGATTAGAAGGATATCCTGGTGTACTGGTCTGTGGTGCAGCAGCTTGTGCATAGGTATGGTTCAGCGCCATTGTAGGTTGTACCAGTGATGGGGTCATCGCAGAGTACGGCTCCGGTGTTGATGCTGACAACTCCATCAGTAGGTCCGCTGCAGTGTTGTGTTGGTAATTAGCCATACTGTTATATGAATACTATTGGATTAACAAATCGGGTTTCGGCACCAAAAATATGTGACCTTCAGAACG